CTTTAGTTACTCAAGTGCTAGTTTATCACTGCCTCCTTGGAAGGGAACATCACAGACACTACCAAAGACAGGGAACAGGGAGCCTGGTCTCTGCCTCCTCGGCCTATGGAGATGGGAGACCTAAATGCTCCAACAGCTGATATAATCCTGTGAAGAGTGGATTCTCCCTCTAGGTGGAGACACACCCTTGTCTCCTCCCTTAAGGGCTAACCCAGTGGAGCAGGTCAGGGATCTGTCTAGGGGACCACCCATAGGAAGGAGGATTCACCTTAAGATAATGTGCTTTTCCTTCCCAGAATCCTACTCCCTAGTGCATTCCTTACCAACTGCCCTTCTAAGGAAAAGTGTAACTATTTCTTTTTCTTCTGTCTTCTATGTTGGCCAGAGCCTGTGTGCTTTTAAACTCCCTAAAATGAATACTTTGGGCTTCCTTACTTTTTTTCTAAAGTTCCCCTCCCCACTGTGGGGCTGCCTGCCTCAGGGTGCTGACCTCAAGGCCTTATTTCAAGTTCAAGGCTTTTGTTTCTTCTGTTCCCCATCCTCCTCCTCCCTTCCAGGCAGCTGGGAGATTTACAGCTTGCCTGCTCTGGGGTTTTCCTTTTAAACTCTAATAAACTGTCCATGAGCTTCTTGGTGTCTGTTCTTAAATTCTTTTATTAATAAGACTAAGAACCCCAAGCGGGGACCCCAGTTTCCTAGGCATCATGATGGCTCTGTTGGGACTTCCTAAGATTCCAGGTAACACTTCTTTCCTGCCTTTTAATTCTTTAATTGGCAGAGAAAATAAACCCTTTCCTGTACCCCTAGATGGCATCAACATGAGGGGGCGCTATGTTGGGTATGAAACCTTGGTTCCCAATGCAATGTTTAGAGGTAGGGGTTTTGATTAGATCATAAGGACTCTAGCCTAATCGATAGGTTACTGCAGTGACAATTATAATCTGATGGGATGTTATGGCAACCTGAAGTAGAGCCTGGTTGGAGGAAGCAGGCCACTGGAAGCATGTCTTTGAAGGGTATATCTTCTCCCTGACCCCTGTCTGTTTCTGGCTGCCATGAGCTGAGAAGCTTTCCTCTCTCATGACCCTATACTATGCATCTGCCTCACCACAGACTTAAAAGCAAAGGAGCCAGCTCATCATGACTGCAACCTCTGGAACTGTGAACACAAACTCTTCTTAAATTGTTTCCAACAGGTATTTTTGTCATTATTTACAACTAAAACAGGGGGTATCCCACAGGGCTTAGAGCTACAGAGCACCTTTCTAGCCCTCCTGCTAGGCTTTTGTTTCAAAGACACTTGGTCTGGTACTGATAGGTTTAGGCTCTCTGACCTTACCTCTTGGCTGGACTCTCATATATTGCTTTTTAATGGTGTGATCTTGACAAATCATCTAACAGCTCCAACTTTTGAAAAAAGGTGATAATGTCCTTCCAGGTCTGGGAGAGGTGAGGAGCCAACATCCAACATAAACAACGGTCTTAGTGGGCTGAAGAGATGGCTCAGCAGGTAAGGGCACTTTCTATTTTTGCAGAGGCCCTGAGTTCAATTCTCAGCACCTATACAGTAGGTAACAACTTTCCTTAACTCCAGTTCCAGGGCATTCCATACCCTCTTCTGGTCTCCACAGGCACTGCATGCACTTACATACATGTAGCTAAAACACTCACATACATGAAATAAAAATAATTGTTTTTGGTCTTTTTGAGACAGGGTCTCCCTGTAGCCCCAGCTGTCCTGGAACTCACTATGTAGACCAGGCTGGCCTTGAACTCACAGAGATCCGCCTGCCTCTGATGCCAGAGTGCTGGGATTAAAGGCATGTGCCACCACACCTGGCTAAAAATAAATTTTTTTAAAACTTCATTGCTATTGTCACCCCACCCCCTCTCTTCATGCTTAAACTAATGATGAATTCAAATGAAGACCCTGAGAAGTTCATGGAACTTCTGTTCCATCCCACAGAGTCACACTAACACAGGGGCATCACAAAGCTAAGACTTCTCAGGCATGAGCACAATGGAACCAACCCAAGCTTCCTCCTTCCCGCACCTTCACCTTGCCCAGGTGACTCAGAGAGACCGCAGGAACCCAGCACCAGGCACAGCGGTCCCTGACAGCTCAATGAAGACCAGGAAAGCTGAGCTTTGTGGGGAAGGAAGAGACACCAAGTTCTGGGAGTGGCCAGGAGCTGGTTGCAAGTGCAGTAGTTTACCTACAGACTCCACCAGCACTGGCGAGTGCCTCCATGCCTTTCAGAAGCAGTACCTGCCACTTTTCTATGCCCTTTAGACACATTAGTCCTTCCCCATAGGAGGATTATTCAAGGTCCCCTAACTCCTCAACCCTGGGGCATATCCCTCTTCAATGCACAGCTCATTCTTGTATTTAGAGTCCCTCAGTATTTCTCCAGGTGCCCCCAGACAGCCTGCAAGTTGCTTCCCCACTTCACCTCCCAGGCATCTGCTTAGTTTCCTCTCACCTTCCCTCCAAGAGCCCAGCAAGCTTCCACATGATCCTCAGCAGCATCCAGCCCACTTTCCTGACTTGTTCTAATATCCTCTCTGCTCTTTCCAGAGAAGAGAGGTCACCTCCTTGGACCATACTTTCTCCTCTGCTTCTAGCCATTGAGCATCCCTGGCTCCAGCTTTCCACTTCTTAGATGTGTCCCGAAATAAACCACCAAGCCCCTTTTAGCCTCCATTTTGTCCCCTGAAAAATGGGTCCATCACTACCTACCTCTTCGGGTTACTATCAGAATTAAATGAGAAATTGTACGCTAAGCATTTAGCACAGCTTCTGAATCCTGTCTCCCCACCCCACTCATGTTTCCTACATCATACTCCTGCAAGGTTCCATTTTCCCTGAGGATACAGCTTACACTCTTCCTTACCTCCCCTCCTCCCCAAGCACTTGGCTCAGTACTGTGCACACAGGGGAAGACAGCAACTAACAAAGGCTCCAGTGGCATGCTCTGTGGGAACTCTGCGGAGGTGGAGAAAAAATGAGTTCTGCCATCTTATGTCAAGAATTCCTGCAGCCCTGCCACCTCTGGCCCCCAAGAGGAGCTGCAGTACCCCATCCTGAGTCCACTGGGCTTCTTGTTGGTGGTCAGGAAGCTGGGCACCATTCCTCCACAGAGTGCCTTTCACCCCAGCGCCAGCCTGCCAAGCAAATCCTACCTCCCACAGGCATTTCCTGGGGCATTGGGCTCCCCATGCTGCTGATTTTTTCCCAGTGCCTGACTTTTTCATCGTGCACACAGGGATGAGAGCCCACAGGACCTGCCCAGGCTTTCTAGATGAGGGACCCATGGAAGTTGGCAGGGGCACCCAAGGCGGAAGGGGCAGTGTTGTGTGTAGTGACACTGACAGGGAAGTTCAGCAATTCACCCTCCTGTTCAGCTGCTTCAGTGGGATCCCCTCACCCTCCAGGTGCCTTAGCCCAGGCCCAGGCTTCCTCACTCAGGCAATTCGACCTCCTAGGATGTGCATAGTATGTGTCTAGGACACAGAAACAGAGAGTCCAGGAAGGGACAGAAGTAGATACCAGGAGGCGCAGGGACAACTCCAGGGCTCCTTTTCCTCCCTGACTGGGCCCCTCACCAGGCACCTCCACAGCCCTCTGTCAAAAACTCCCTCAGGAAAAGACCAAGTCAGCACTCTGGCCCTGCTCTTTCCCAGGGCCTGGCTTTAAAACGCAGGCTGGAGCTCTTGGAATGGCCATCCTTTTCCTCCTCCCTCACATCCTGCTGCCCCCAATCCTTCATAGGGGAGGGAGACTGGCTAGAGCACAGAGAGGTGGAGGACAGGCTGAATTCTGCCAAGCTGAAGGGAACCACGGCCTGCTTCCCGTGCTCCAGGTTTCAGTTCCAGGATGGATGGAATGAAGGACCTAGTGAGGACCAGTCACCCTGACCCCATCCTTCCTTCAGCAGATGCCCACCACACACCAAGCCACTGTGGAGGCCTCAGAGTCTTCTGGCAGTGTCTAGTCCTTGCACAAAACTGCAGACACTGTCCTGTCCCTTTCCACTAACCCCAGCCCAGAGTTAAACATAAAGGGGGAAGTGGAGACAGCACACAGCAGCTTTTACTTTTTGCAAATCTCCAGGAGGATTGATGTTCAGATGATTTGCCTGGCCTCGCATTTCAGTCAGCCCTTTAAATAACAGCAAAAAAGACAAGGGTGCAGTTTGGGTGTTTTTGTTTGGTTGGTTTTCTGTGGGTTGAGTTTTTGCATCTTTTGCAGCTCTTTCGAAGTTCAAGATCTGTCCACTCTGGAGCAGTGCCAGTTTGGCCAGAGTTGCCCACACAAAGTGAGAACACACGAAAACACATACACACACACACACACACACACACACACACACACACACACACACACACTGCAGTCTCAGAGTTGCATCGTGCTGGCATAAAACTGTCCCACAGAGCAAACGATGCAGAAGTCGCATGCTACAAGCCATCCTTGAAGACCAAGAAAGAAAATGCAAACAGTCCCAGACGCTGCACTGCCAACTGAACTCTCACCCTCACGTACGGATAGAAACAACGATAACACACCAGTCCGGAAAAGCGCTGCCCGGGTGCGCTGCACCAAGCTTCCAGCTCCCTGAGTGCACCGCGGTACTACACCGAACGCGGGGCGGCGCCTGGGGTCCGGGTGGTGGGGGGTGCGGGTCCTGGCCAACCCTCCAGCTCCCTCCCAGCAGGCTGCGCCCCCCGGCTCCCCTCCCCCGTCTCCCGCCACATCTGGTTCCACTCAGGTCCTCCCCCACCTCCAGGCGCGCTCCTCCTCCCATCTCCCTTGCTTCCAGAAAAGCAAAGACGATTTTTAAAAACCCAGTCACACACACACACACACACACACACACACACACACACACACACACACACACAGAGAAAAGATGGGAAGAATGGAAAAGGAGGGAAAAGCCGAGAGGCCCCGCTCCCCCACGGCCCGGCCCCCGAAGTTGGCTAAGTTGGCAGCGCCTTACCCGGGAGGGCGGCGGCGGCGTCCCCCGGGTGGCCGAGGTGCAGCGCCCCGAGGAGCAAGATGCAGCGCAGCAGGTGACCAGGCCGGGGCACGGAAGTCGGTCGGATGGGCCCCATCTCCGCAGTGCTCGGAGGACGCGCGGACAGAGGGCGCATGGCGGGCAGCGCGGTGGCAGCCCTGGCGCTGGGCTCCGATGACCGCGGGCGAGGGGCTAGCGTCCTTCTCCCGGCCGGGATGAAGTGATGCCTCTGGAAGAGGAGGAGGAGGAGGGGAGGAGGCAAGCCCCGCGAAGGGAGGGCGGAGGGAGGAGCGCAGAGCCCTGGAGGAGGGTTTGAGGGGCAGAGGGGAAGGGAAGCAGGCAGCGTGGGAGGGGAAGGGGAGGAGGCACGGGGCCGGGGACCCGGCCAGGAGGGAGACAGGGGATGGCAGGAGAGGAGGACCCCGGCCGCGCTCTTTATCTTCGCTCCTCTTCTTAATCTCTCCCGGCCTCGCCTTCCCTCTCTTTTCACTCGGGTCCTGGAGCCCCAGACGCTGCGTCACAACTTCTCTGGTTGGCGCGGGCGGGGAAGCAACTGCAAAACTTTCCGCGAACTTCACCGCGTGGTTAGACCTGGGCTGCTGCAAGGCCCAGCCAGTCGAGGGCGGGGGCGTGCGACTGACCCAGGTGGCCAGACTCGGGCAGCCAGCAGCCCCTCCATCCCGCCTCTTCTGCCAGTTGCCAGCCGCCAAGCGTCCGCTACTTCCATGCCTAGGAAGACCCCCTTCCCCTAGTCTGGTGGGAAAGGGGAGGAGCCCAGAACTCCGCCACCCGGGCGAAGATTGGGGGAGGGGGAGGCAGGGCTCCTGTTGCTTGTGAGCAGCAGCGCAAACAACTCTTGTACATCTTGTTTCAGCATTTGTGTGACCCCTGGCACGGAATGTGTAGTACTTCAGCTAGTTGGGGCCCCGCGTCCAGAAACCTGGGACAAAAGCGGTCCACCGGGTGTCCCAGAAGATCTTCATCGCTCCCACCAACTGGATTGCTGGCGGATAGCGAAGAGCCGAACGGAAATTTCATAAAAGTAAAGACAAACCAGTTTTTTCGTGTTATGCAACGGGCCAGATGGCAGTACAGAGCACTGGACTAGGAGCCTAGATTTTGGAGGGCAGCCCACATCTAGTTCTGATTTCCCAAACAGATCTCTAGCTAGGGCTGAGAGTTTTGGAGACTCTATACTAAAAGAAGACTCATCTTCTCCTACCACAAGTGACCAAAACACTGTAAAACTGTAATATACATTTTATTGTTTCCTGCACTATCCATGGTGGTGCTTTTTTTTTTTTTTAATTAAGTGCTGCATTTTATGACTTCTGCCATGGGTAATCTTCCCCCAGTCTCTGCAGTAAGTTGCTGGCCTAAAGAGGCTACCTTGGCTCTTCCCAGCTCTGCCAGCTGAGTCTGTTGGTTGATATAACCCACTGATTGCAGGCCCCCAAAAGGAGCACCTGCAGCCCCCTGTAAATAGTCCACTAGCCACACTTGGCCCTGAGACATGATTGGCAGCCAGGCAAACAAATTCCCTACTCCAAGGCTAGCTGGAGTAGGTCTGAGAGAACCCATTGGCTTTGGGGAAGCAAATGATTCACTTCACTGCCCCTTGGGACCCATCTTCTTGGAGTGCATGTCTTAGGATCCTAGGATCCTTCGCACAACTGGCCCTGTAAGGCTGCCTCCTCTTGGCCTCCCTCTTATACTGTCCAGCTATCTTCCAGGGCTTTGAAGAATCTACAAGCTGTGGCTAAGCGCTGTCTTCCCTATCTGAACAGCCTTTAAACACAGGATGCTTCTGGAATAGAATCAGATGCCTCCTCCACCAGCCTGAGTAAGTTCTGGCACTACCCACCTCAAAGAACAGAAGCTAACTCCCTGACATCACCAGGGTCCTCTGCACTTGCTTGGGAGGGACCATCAGTCCTGTACTGCCCCTCATGAAGCATCACTCTGTGTCAAAGGACACAGTTGCAGCCCTGTGTTTCATTTGATGGGGAAAATAAACTTTTTGCCATATTTCAAGCAGTGAAGATTCTGCTCAGGGGCTGAGAAATAGGGAAAGGCAATGCACTAGCCAAGTCTTGCTCAAGCTGCTCAGGTCTGTTCTAGTCATGGTTGGTCACTGTGTGCTACTAACCATTGGTATCTGCCTGGGCCCACGATCATGACCACCACTGGCTTAGATCTTGGGCTCAAAGGACACAAAGCAGAGCTAAAACAATTCTCTGTCAGAGACCCTAGTTTAGACCATTCCTTAAAATCCTGTGCAGCCATGGTAGTACAAGCCTGTCATCCTAGCACTTGGGAAACTGAGGTAGGAGGATTGCAGTGAGTTGAAGGCCAGCTTGGACTACATGGTGAGTTTCAGGCCACTCTGGATTACAGTGTGAAAGCTTGTCTCAAAATAAACAAAAAACCCAGGGCTGGGGAGATGGCACAGTGGGTGTGCTGGATGACTTCAGCTGTAAACTTGACACACCTGGGTGGAGGGAACCACAATAGAGGAATTGTCTCCATTGGATTGGCCTGTGGCCATGTCTGTGGGGTGTTTTCTTGATTGTTGAGTGATGTGGGAGGGCCCAACTCACTTAGGTGGTGCTACCCCTGGGCAGGTGGTCCTGTATTGTATAAGCAGGTTGAGCACAGGCTAGGAGAGCAAGTTAGTAAGCAGTGTTCCTCCATAGACTGTGCTTCAGCTCCTGCTCCAAGTTCCTGCTTTGACTTCCCTCAGTATTGAACAGTAACCTGTTAGATGTAAGATAAAATAAATCCTTTCCCCTCAAGTTGATTTGGTTAATGTTAGTAATTTATTTTTTAAATCTTTTTATTCGGGCTGGAGATGGCTCAGCGGTTAAGAGCACTGGCAGCTCTTTTGGAGGACCTGGGTTCTCCGTTCCCATCACCCACATGATGGCTAACAACTGTCTATAACTACAGTTCCAGGGGATCCAATGCCCTCTTCTGACCTCGGGCATTGCATGACATGGGTACATTTACACACATGCAGGCAATGTACTCATACACATAAAAAATTAAATCAATAAAAAATTTTTATTGTGTGTATGAGTTTATTTACATGCTAATAAGCACATGTTCATAAATAGCCCACCCCAGAGTACAGAAGAACTGAGCATCAAAAGTGAGCTGAGTTCCGGCTCCTCCATTCACTGAGCCACATGTCCTTCAAGTCACTTCCCCTCTCTGGGTCTCAGGTACTCTGAGGAGCCCATATTGCTGTCATTACTCACTATGCTTAAGGGTCTTTTGTGGTCTCCTCTTCCCTGGGGCTCAGCAGCCTCTGCAGTCACAGATGCTCAGGAAAGCAGAGCTCCCTAGCAGGCCAGACTTAACAGCACAAGCTTAGGAAGATGGAACGGAGACAAGAAGGAAGGATGCAACTGGATGGCCAGGAGGAGGCTGTGGAAAAAGACTTGGCTAGCTCTTCCGGAGGCAGCTAGAGATGAGGTATGAGCCCAGAGAGGCACCCAGGGCTGCCTTACTCCACACCCTCTCCAAGCCAGGGCAGCAGAGGTCCAGCTCAAAAAGTCTGAGTAGTAAAGCACCCCACACCCTTTCTACCCCCACCCTTTCTAACATAGCAACCCCCTCTCTCCCAAGGCCTACACTCGGGCAGTACACTTCATCCACAGCACAGAAGAACTCAGAAGGGACTGGACTAACCCTGGGAAAAGGAAGAATGCATACATAAGAGCCATACCACTCCAAATGGACCAAGTTTGACTCTACCAACTGCAGGCTGTGCAGCTTTGGGAAATTTGTCATTAATCTAAAGGAACCATTTCTTCCCTGTCCCATTACTGGGGAACATTGTGGCATTTGAATCATAACTGGCCCACCCAATCATGTCCACATGTCAGAACAGTTCCTTCCTCTCTCCCTGGAAGCCCTCCCCTATCCTGAGTGCCTCTGTGTTTTCCTTAGGTTCAGCCTGAGGCTTGTGGTAGGAGACTACTCCTTTAAAGCAGCTCCCAACGCAGTCTTTTAGCAACCAGGGGCTAAGAGATGGTTACAGTCCCTTCCAGGAAGCAAGAGGTGCAGGCTTCTTCCCCATGTCTAGGAGTCCAGACTCCCAGGAGTTTGGGACACAAACTCCTACTTAGAGAAGCCACAGGAATGCTGCCAGCTGTCAGCAGGGCCTTGGAGTAAGCTCAAAGCAGACAGACTCAGGATTGGGAGTCCAGGCTCCGCAGGGTCGGAAAAATGCCCGCCTCTCAGATGCTTACTGCTCCTTCCTCTGCTTAGGAATTAACAGGTCATAGGAAAGCTGGTAGAGGACTTCAGAGAAGGGTAGAGGGTGGCCTGAGGCATCACAGCAAAGAGGGGACCCCAGGGTGAACTGAAGAACTAGCTGCAGTTGGGTGGGACTAAGTCTCTAGAACTTTCTGTGTCAGCTAACTGGTGTGTGGGTGGATAAGGAAGAACATCACATCACCCTGTCTGCTCTCCAGCCTTGAGCTACAGTGCCCCTGTACTAAGAACAGGCTGAACAAGCATGTCCAGGCCACCTCTGGTCACAGTGCTCATGTTTCTACATCTCCTTTCCCCTTCAAAATGTCACTGGGAGGAGGCATGCTGACTCAGACCTGTGAGCCCAGCACCTGGAAGACTGAGACAAGAGGACTGCTGTGAGTTTGAGGCTAGCCTGGTCTACATAGTGAGTTCTAAGGCAGCTTGGGTTACATAGAGATCCTGTCTCAAAAAGCCAAAAGGATTTTCTTTTCTCTTTCTCTCCATAGCTATATAATTATATATCATTGGGACTGGAGAGATGGCTCAGCGGTTAAGAGTACTGACTGTTCTTGCACTAGATTGGGGTTCAACTCCCAGCACCCACATGGTGGCTAACAATTCTAACTCCAAAGCTGGGCATGGTGGTACACACCTTTAATCCCAGCACTCAAGAGGCAGAGGCAGGCGGATCTCTGTGAGTTCGAGGCCAGCCTGGTCTACATAGTTCCAGGACAGCTGGGACTACAGGGAGACCCTGTCTCAAAGACAAAAAAACAGAACAAAACAAAAAAACAATTCTAACTCCAGTTCCAGGGGATTCGATGGAGCCCTCTTCTGTCCTCCGTGAGCATTGCACGACATGGGTGCACTTACTTACATTCCATAACTCATACACATAAAAAACAAAAGAATAAATCATAATTATCATTGAGGCTGCTTCCATGAGCAAGGTGAACTTTTTCTCTAGTTTCAGTACTTGAACCTCTGAAGCAAGGCTGGGCCCAATCCCTCCAATAGTGGCCCAGAGGAGAGCAGAAGGAAAGTTCAAGTACAGAACTCCCCTGATCCACTTTCAATCTTTAGCAGAATAATGCCCTGGACCAAAGGGAGCTATCTCTACCCCAGGCCCAAGAGGCTGGTCAGACCTCCCCCAGCCTCCAGTTAGCAACAAGCAGTAGACTGAGCACCTGGGAGGGTCTACAGTGTTTCCCAGGTGCTTATAGTGAGTGTACTGCATGTAAGTTAAGTACTATTCTGTGGAATATGGACTGGGTTGAGAGGTTAGGTCTATCAATGCTGTGGGCTGCCATCCCAGGTATCTGAAAAAGACTGCTATTGAGGTCACTGGGGCTCTCCAGAGATCCCCTCTCAGCCCGACTATAAGTGCACCTAACGTTGCCTCTTAACTCCCTGGTCTCACCCACCAAGGTCCCTTACTCACCAATCAGGCCCTATTTGCCCTTCAGCCTAACCAGATCTAGATAATTCCTCATTAACACTTTCTTCCCAGGAGATTCTAGGCTGTATCAAGTTGACAATTAAAATTAACCAGCCCACATGGGCAGGAGATCCTGAGGAGCAGAGCTCCTGCTAAGGTAGGAGATTCTAAAAAAGTCTATGGATACAGAAAGCCATAGCCTCCGGAATTAATTGGAGGGATACACCTTTTTGTCATCTCCCCAATTGGCAAGTCTTTGTCTTAGGAAATGGGCACTGATCTAAATAGCCTAGGTACAACTCTATGTCAGGCCAAGGCCCACATTGTGGTGGATGGAGGTGGGGTCTTTCGTATCCTGTGGACATGCCTCCATGAGATTCTGTGACAGAGATAGCAACTAGCCACACCTGTTGTTCATTCCCCATCCCCTTGTGTGTGTGTGTATGCATGCATATGCAGGTTATTTGCCTGTGTATGGAAGCCAGATGTAAATGTTGGGTACTCTCAGTTTTCTTGGTCTTTTTGAGACAGGGTCTCCCTGTAGTCCCAGCTGGCCTGCAACTCACTATGTAGACCAGGCTGGCCTTGAACTCAGAGATCTGCCTGCTTCTGCTGGGATTAAAGGCGTGAGCCACCATGTCTGGCTCAATTGCTCCCTTGGTTTTTGAGACAGGGTCAATCACCAAACCAGGAACTCACCAATTCAATTAAAGAGGCTGGCCAATGAGTTCCAGGGATCCTCATGTCTCTGCTTCCTTAGTGTTGGGATTACAGGCACATACAACTGTGCCTGGCTTTTTACATGGGTGCTGGGGATCAAACTCAGGTCCTTATGTTTGACTGGCAAGCACTTTGTGAACTGAATCATCTCCCCAACCTCAATGGCTTCCCATTCTATAAGCAAGATAACAAAACCAAGCAGGGGTTGTGAAGCACACTTGTAATCCTAGTACTTGGGTGAGGCAGCAGGAATGTACATTCCAGGCTAACCTAGACTATACAGTGAGTTGGTTTTTGAGAGGGTCTCCCTGTAGCCCCTGCTAGGCCTGGAACTTGCTATAAAGACCAGGCTGGCCTCAATCTCACAGAGATCCGCCTGTCTCTGCCTCCTGGGTACTGAGATTAAAGGCATGTGCTGGGTCTGGAGAGATGGCTCAGCGGTTAAGAACACTAGTTGTTCTTGCAGAAGACCTGGGTTTGAATCCCAGTACCCACATGGCAGCTAACAATTGTCCGTAACTCCATAACTCCAGTCCCAGGGGATCTGACAGCCTCTTCTGACCTCTTCTGGCATTGCACAACACTACACTTACCTACATGCAGGGTGCACTTACCTACATGCAGGCAATACATGCATACACACTGAAAAAAAAAAAGTTTAAAGGCATACACATTTAAAAAAAAAAGTTTAAAGGCATGTGCCACCATGCCCAGCTTAATTTATTTTATGTGTATTTGCCTGCATATATGTAAGTGCACCCATGTTATGCAATGCCCAAGGAGGCCAGAAGTAAGCATTAGATCCCCTGGAACTGGAGTTAATGATAGTGTTAGCTGCCATGTGGGTGCTGGGAACAGAACCTTGGTCCTCTGCAAGAGCAGCCAGTGTTCTTAACCACTGCGCCTTCTCTCCAGTTCCAAGATCCTCTCTTAAAAAATAAAAATATGAGCTGGGTATGGTGTCACACACCTTCAATCTCAACACCCAGGAGGCAGAAGCAGGTGGATCTCTATGAGATCAAGGCCAGCCTGGTCTACTTGGTCTATATAGTGAGCTCCAGGCCAGGTGGGGCTACAGGGAGACCCTGTCTCAAAGAGAAAAAAAATAGTAAAATAAACAATATGATAGATGACAGGACCGGATAGTAGGGAAGCTACAACACAAGTGT